GTATAATGGGTCCTATGTTATATATATATATATATATATATATATATATATATATATATATATATATATATATATATATATATATATATGCTAACAACAGGGTTTACTTAATTCGTTTTGGAACATTTGATTTATTCACTAGCGACTAATTTCGATATGACTTCCTAAAGTTTTAGTGAGTTGCGACTAATTAACTGCGAGATTAATACAGAAGTGAAGCAAATATACAAACTAATAAAATTTCATGGTGATAATATCGCGAGTCGGTTAAAGTTAGGAAAGTAGGTTACGCTAAACGCTAAATTAATGGTCAAAAAGCAATAAAATCGACACAAGATTGGAATATTCAATTCCTCGTTAAGGGGAGAGTGGATTTGTTTTTCTGAAAAGTCCTACATTAGAATCAGATAGATATTCAGTACCTCCTGACTAAAAACTAGCATCATTTTCGGAATAGGTAATTGTTGTATTTATCTAGTCCTTATTGATGACCGGATTCCGTCGAACAAGTTACAATATGGTCACCAGTCTATGTAACTCAATAACGCATTCACTACGCCTCAGTGTTAGATGGTTTGAAGTAGTAGGAAGGAAACCTCCCGGGATTGACCACCATTCAGCGATCAATCAATTGTAAATATTTTAGTTACGACTTGAATATCTTAGTGGCAACATCTTAAATAATAAAACTAGGTGGCACGCGTTCCAGTAGACACCAGTCTCTTTAAGATTAAATGTATGTCTTCCTGACCAGTGTCAACTAGCACGAAACCTGGGTAGGGTAAAGCTTCCGTATGGTGACCTTCAACCACCGAACAGGTGAATTTTAGCAAGTTAAAACTTAACTAATTAGACAGCTGAAGAATCATAAATTAACTTAACTCACAAAATGACACACCCAAACATGACATACTATGTATCTTGTTCCAAAAAAATATTTCGGTATTATTATAATATTCTTTATAGGATTTCCGTCAAACATCTGCTGTTCTATAACTAATAACTTTATTATTACTATTATTCCCATAACTAAAAGGATAGTATTTCAAGAACAAACAAACAGGCATATCTGGCACGTAGGGATATATATATATAACTATGAGTTGACTCATACTCTCGTAGGTTTCTAAACCAGTGAAGTTCTTCAATGTTAGTCTTTCAATTGATTCAAGTGTATCTTATGACAAGAATAATGAAAGTATAATATACTTATCTTATAGAGGAATGAGTTTTGAACTGTTTAATAAAACGTAACTATCTAGCGTTGACTGATTAGATTGATGAAGTTAAGTAACATCTATTGGGAGACAATACTTTTCTTACCAGTGTAGAAGCAGTTCAACTTAGTACGGTTTGGAATAATATATCAAGATAGAAACTAAACAGATAGAAAGTTAAGAGCTTTGGTTTAGTGATTAAAGTGTACATTTTTCAACCAATAAATGACAATTTTGAATCTCACTTTAGGCGGTTGAGTATTATCACTAGCCAACAAACAAACAGTATGGCTTAAATTTGGGTGTATTAGTATAAACCTGGTTAATGAGTTACATGAATATCAACTGGTTTGGGATGAAAATTAACAAAATAAATCATGGAGAATAATTAAGGCGGGTTGAGTGACAAAATAAATGAATAATAAATTATGAAGTAGGTAAACAAGATAAGATAGCGAATGTATTCATATAACGCGAACTGACTTATTACCAAGCTATTGATAGTCATTTCAATGTCAAATGAATCGCAAACAATACGTGTATGGAATTAAGTAAGTTTTAATCAAAAGACACAATTTCCAAAGGCACCAAGGTAACCTACTATACACGTAATAAAACAAATTCAATATTACTCTTTTTTAATAAGATACAATCGTAAAACATGGTCACTGAGGATACATCTGGTTAGTTATCTTAACTACATTGGAAATATTGAAATAAAAGGGAATAGACAGTGTCATGCAACCACCTCTCTTGTTGTACGATTCAATGAAAGTATCACTGTTTGGCAACGATGTGAAAAATAGCTTGCAATTATCTAAATTGTAGTTTTTTATCATTATAGGAAAGTGCTTCATTATTACGAATTCAGTTAGCTAGTAGTTTTTATATTTCTACATTTTCATCTGTATGGTATGTAAGGTCTGACTTAATGAGAATTTACCTACACTACTTAATTTTATCTTGTATTACCAAAATGCTGACAGTATGTTTTCCCTTGGGGCTGCATCGCTCAGTACCTTGAAATACAGTGATATACAATAAGCCAACTCAATTGTCATCGACCGTAGCTGCTACCCTGACGTGATAGTCAGGCATGGCTGTCATTAAGAGTCGGTTGCAACGTAGGACCAGGCACATATGTGCATCGGTCCAAGTTGCCACACTTCATTAGCACAGCAAGATGAACACCTAATTCATAGAAGCAATCAACTCAATAGTGTAATATATAAAGGAAAGACTGCATATAAGGATATAGTACAGGAAGGAAGAATCAGTTCGTAGAAAGAAAGATATGAAGCGATTTTAATCTCATAGTTTAAGGGAAGACAGAGAGTTTATACTCCTACGCCATTGTGATCGATTCCGAGCCATGTCACCAACAGTTTCCAACCATTGGCTACGACAGTCACGCGAACCCGAACCAAGTAGTCTTCATCTACCAACATGACTCAGACTAGAGGTTAGTGACTTCAAGCACTGATGCCACGTTTTGGTTTGGCCGCCCCTAATTCTCTTCCAACCATCTCTAACACCCGTTAGCATTGCACGACGTGGTAATCGGTGTTCAGGCATACGTAACACGTAGCCCAACCATCTCAGTCGATGAAGATTCACAACCTCATCAACTAATTTATCATCATTTCGTAATATCCTTCGTTTAACCTCACTATTACTTGTCCGGTGATCCCAGCAGATGCGAGCAATATTTCTAAGACATCTGTGGTCAAATACTAGTAGCTTACGAATATCTTCAACTCTTAATGGCCATGTTTCGCTGCCGTAAATTAAAACAGAACGGACTGCCACGCAGTATACTCGTCCTTTTATTGATAGACGGGTATCTCACCTTCGCCAAAGGTGACGTAAGTTGGCAAAAGCCAAACGAGCTTTTCGAATCCGTGCTGAGATTTCGTCCGATACCAGCCCATTAGGGCTGATCAGACTTCCAAGATAAGTGAAGTTGTCGACGCGTTCGACTACTTAACTCCCTATCCTTAGTTCAGGTGTTGACGCAGGCCAGTCCTGAAGCAAAAACTTGCATTTAGAGGGAGAGAAGCGCATTCCAAACATTCTGGCATTGTTGCTTAGTGCTACCAAAAGACTCTGCATTTTGTCAGCGTCTTCATCAAACAGGACTATGTCGTCTGCGTATTCTAAGTCGATAAGTGGACCTCCTGAAAGGAGCCCAATACCCGAGAATTCAGTCGACGAGAACTTTATTCCCATCAGTAGGTCTATGACGAAGTTGAAGAAAAATGGAAAAAGTGGACAGCCTGGACGTACACCACTTGAGGTTGAAATAGAGCCATATTGTCTGAGACATTCGTTCCTCTAGGCCCTACAATACAGACAGGTCAGTTGGAGAACGCTAAAACTAAGGGTGGTAAACTCATGGTTCGATGGCGAAATCATACTGTTGACTGCAAAGAGGTATGATAGGAGTAATGTATCATGCTCACGTAGCCGACACCTCCAGATAAGATACCTTCCCACAACGGAAGGATAGGGTTAGTAAAGGTTGACTATGAAGATAGCACACCTCACCTTCATGAATATTCGTTGCACATGGTAAGGTTTTAAATACATGCAGTCAATATACCAACGACTTTTGATAAAAAGACCGTGAGTGACCGGTCATAAGCAGTTGTCTCTTGGGCTCTAGGGTCACACCGTGGTGTATGCTACTTATGCTGGCAGATATAAGTAGTATGTAGCATTAGTCGGAAGTGGAATGCCTGGCAGCAGATGATTGAAATGAAGAGAACAGTAGGAAATCGAAGAGCAGTCAAAATAACAATAGGGACAGAAGAATAATGGAGAATGTAAAAGACAACAAAAAGAAGATGCGCAATTTATATACTTATTGTATGACTTATATTTTACTGAGCCACTGGGTAATTTCGCATCAAATAATAAATTGGTTTTTTCCACCAAGTCTCTTTTCACTACAACACTGCCACGCTGTCAACCTCAGAACTAACGGAGTGCCCTTCCACAGTGTGTACAACCAGGAAGTGATATCTCCTCACATACCTCTAACTGTATTCGAAATTGAATCGTTATTCTGCCAGATAATAAGCAGCAGATTAACTCCGAGTAATTTGTGTGATGAGTATGCATCTTTGATGTACGTATAAAAATGACTAATTGCAAGATTCATAAAACGTCCTATTCTGACTTGTAGCTGCGTCAACAAAGTTTGGCTCATTCACATGTTGGACTTGACTACTCTACACGAAAAAAGTCTTGATCATGTTCACGTGAGCTCATTACATTACACAACATAAAACACCAGTATTTTCAGATCCCAACTTGACAAAATCAATCGAGCAGCACAAAATATTGGACATTAAAAGCCAAACTAAATGATTTTACGCCTATCGAGTGTGTAAAATTGAATGTGTTGTTCCGATTTACAGGTTTTCTTTAGTGTTTACAGTCAATTATAGCAATAGAAAGTTATAAAATCGCAATTCACTTCAGATACTTGTTTGGTTCAATCGAGGATAATATCTGGTTTGAATAAAGAGATAAACTGAAGTCCACTACAAGCATATATACGTAAATTACTTCGGAGTCGTTCATTTCCAGACTGAAATAAACCATACATACAAATGCTAACAGTTGATAGGTGTATATTTGAATGTAAATAGGTATCCGTATCCGTAATACAATACTCCACTGACATAATCTCTCAAAACCTATTGAAACTAAGCTCTTTGAAAACTTTAAATTGGACATAATAATAATAATATAATTTGATAGGTTTACAATGCTCACCATTTGAGTTACCATAAATGCATGTTTAAAATTATGAAATGGTACATTGTTATATCGTGAATAAGTTGAAAACAACCAATTTTCAAGTGTATCAGTAGAGAAATGACATAATTCCGGTAGATTTAAATCCACAAACATAAATTTAACAAAATTAATTAATTCAGCGTCTGAATATAACCAATTGTTAAATGAATGAGATTTTAACTGTTCTTTTATAGATGAAGATATTGATTGAGATCTGTTATGATAGTTTCAAAAAAGATGAAAGATAAAAAAATGATTTTATTACGTAACAATTTGAAAAGTTAAATATCTATATTAATTATCGGTTACTATGACCTCATGAACCAATGGAATCCAAAGAGCACTACTAAACAACATTTTCGTTTTATTATGAAAAGCCACAGTTCTATTCACTAATTATCCCACAACGCACCAAGGTAAAATCCTTCAGATAGAAGGAAAACAACATTGATTTGCATTTATGAACCTTTTGTGATCGACTATCAAATAATAATCGAGACAATGGGGATCATGAACCGATCTAAGTTAGACAGCAGTTTCAAACCTTGGGGAACTGGAACGTCTTTTTTCGTTCCAGTATGAGATCGCTCTACAGTAAATATCCACGACTCCCCAGCCGAGGATCTAACCTAGGACCTGCAGTTTTCAGTTAGGAACAATTAACCTTCCAGCCACTGCGCCATAATACAATGGTGTACAAACTTAACTTCATTTAACTCGTGATATTTCACAACCATCGGATAATTTATATTCACCGACTTAAGTAATCTTTTCCAGTCACTTTATTATATATTCTGTGTAGTTCGATGGTATACTCATATACCAAGTACAGACTCATGTACTCAGATTTGAGGAAAACTTAATGTGTGAGAGCCATCCGCGAAGTACAGGAAATCGTTCCCTAAAGTAACTTTTTAAATTTTCGACTAAAAAACAAAAATGTAGCAAACCATGTAACGTTAAACTATATGTTACACAAGAGATGTATGTGATTTAGGCAACTGTATTATATCTACTAAGAATCGTCACTTAACAGATAATTATTAAACATATCATCTAAGGTTTGAGCCTCATAATTAGTTTATATTAAATCAGTCTTTTATGGATATATTAAAAGTAAGCCCTAGTCTAGTAGTAAACTGTAAGTGGAATAATTAGAATTATTATAAATTATTATAAATCTCTTACATTACATAATAGATAGGAAGGATATTCGAGTTTCTAAAAGTTTATCAGATGATTGAATGGTTAACAGTTAAGAGTTCAGACTATTAAATTACTGATGGATGTTTTGAAACACATCGATTATAAGTACATATTAGAGATAATTAAAAAAAGGAAATACATTTTACCACAAAATCAACTTAAACACAAAATCACATAAAAGGAAACCTATATGAACATGTAGAAATAACTTACCGAATAGCCAGAAATTGATTTCTAACTTTAGTAAAATGTACAAAAGGTAGTTTTATAATTTCCGGGTCAGGGCAGTAAGGATTGCAAGAGATTCTTTGACTATCATTAGGATGTTGAGTATTAATTAAATTGCATGTTTCATTACAATTGTTTGTTTTAAAAGAGTTATCTACTAAACAAGTTTCTGTACTTTTACTTGCTTCAACATCACTGGTAGTTGAGATCTTAGATGAAGAAGAGATGGTTGAAAATAACCACGCAGTACATTTGGTTGGTAAGTGAATTTTATTATTATTTGTACCATCTTTACTGGGTGGTGTACGAGATGATTTCACATGACAACGAATTAATCGTTTAAACATCTATAGATGTAATTGTGAAAAATCAGATAAGAAAAGAAACAATTTATAATGGATTTACACAATTAATATGAAGTAAATAATAAAACAAATTTATATCTTCAATAACTAGTGAAATATGTATGTGTAGGAAAAGGAAACTAAGTTCTGTTAAATTATTTAGAGATAATTCCAGGAATTTCAGTGAAAAGCCATAACCAGCAGAGTTTAAAAATGTCTGATGTTAAGCAGTTTACCTACCAATGACATTGAAAAGTAGCAGTAGTATTGCAAATGGACTAAATTTAGACATGTCAATCAATAGTTGTCTGTTCAGTGGTTTTCAGTTTAAGTACTGACCACAATATCTGGAAGTCCTGGATTCAATCCCTGATGGGATGTTTAATGTGTATTGCTGGAGAGCCCCATGCTACTAAAAAATAGTTGCCCAGTGCTTCCTCCTTTTTATTGACTATATAACTAAGATCAATCTACGACGTAAAAAATAAATCCACTTTATTGTATAAATAAGTAATCAGAAATTATACAAAATTAGTAACTCGCTTTTGAGCCTTAATCGAATTATCTTAATGACAAAACTTCATTTCGGTAGTTTATTCGGATTTGAGATAAAATGACCTTTCTCGGAAGTCATATATGGTTCGCAAGATAATCTAAAAGATGAGTTATTGAAGGCCATAAATGGGAAAAATTTGAAATTACTTTATGTAGACATAAAATTTTACATAAAATTCTTAGAACTTGTTTCAATATATTATGCTGATTCGCACCTATTTTCACTAAATGAATTATATTCAATTTGAGTTAGACAACTGCATTCGTAATGCTCTTCGTTAAAGCTTCATACGATCATTTTATGACAATTAAAAAGCTATCAGATCATTTAAACTGCATTTTAATCTACTAACAGGCTCATTTGAGTCACTCCAAATAAGTTACTTATAACGCAATTTAAGAATCAATAAAACAGAAGAAGCTACAAAACTGAATTCTTAACACTTTTAGACTACAGATATAAGATGAATTGTTCACTGCCAAAACTAGTATCTTGGTTATAATATGGCGAACAAAATCTACAAAAGTTATACTACAGTTGGAAGAAACAAGAGGAGCATTTGATATTTTAATCTGAAATACAATATACAAAATGTTCTGACAATTTAAACGTCATTTTCTACAGGAAAACATCAAGAAATCAGTTAAGCCTCATGTGCGCTAAATTGGAATAAAAGCTACCACCAGTTTAAAGCAATAATGCTCTGCGGAGTGTCTTTTAAAAATAACAAGTGAGCAACGATTATTGTTTTCAATTAGATTGCCAGGTTTTACCTTAATGTGTATGTATATACAAAAGACATTAAACCAACTGAGGAAATTTGTGAGATAATGATAAAAATGAAGAACTATTACATAACTGATAATCACGAGCAAGATGTACAAATCGCAAACTATAACAGTAGATATAAGACTAATAAACATCGTGATATGGACGAATATATTTTGACATATGAATAAAGTCAAACCTTGAAAACATAAACTTAGCGTAGTAACCATCAAACTAAACAATATAGGGTGTGGGACTAGTAAATTTAAGTAGGGAGTTATCGAAGAAGCGAATAAACAAACAAAAAGACGAGGAACTAGTAAGATCATCTATCAAGTTTTCCCAGCTCCAACAAGTGACAAGCACTACAGGCTTCTTTCAGATACAAAGGTTATGATTGTTGGTCTAAATAATTTTACGCAAAAGATGAAATCAAACCTTATCGAGGAACATAGGAAGCATTTGCCTATTCACTTAGAATGTTTTAAATTTATAAATCAAACGACTACTGTTGACTATATGTGACGAGACAGCTACATTTGGAATTTCTTTAGAATTTTTTAAAACACACAAAATGATGGCAGATTTTCTGGTTGATTTTTTTTAAAAGTAAGCATGATATTGTGCTCTTCATAGGACGTTACGATAAACAAATATGTACAGAAATGACAAAAACAACAGATAGCTCTTACTTTAGGCAACTACTCTTAGTTGACTAGAAAGTGGTGAACAAAGAATATCTGTATAAAAATTCATCTTTACAGCTCCAATGAGTTTGTCATGCAGGAAATCACCAGTTGTATTCCCAGTGGATGGTGGTCTCAGGTAAAGGGATTTATTATGAACAATCATAGTATCTGGTTTACAGTTTACTGGATTTATATTCTTTTCGAAAGCTTATGGGTAACCTATTTCAACCAATATATCATATATAAAGTCTAGTTCTTCGTTTCTAATGTGGTTTGGACACGTCTCTCCATCTTTGCTTATAAGGGACATAATCAGGTTTTTTTATGAAACAAGTATGAAGCTAAAGAAATATGTTGACATCCTGGTTCAAATCTTGGGACACCTATTTAAGTTAGTATCGTAAACAGCAGCGTCTGAGATATTCACCATTTCACTTTCGAAGTATAAGATGTGAATGTGAGCAGGAGATATGTGATATCTCTAGATGTCACGCCTTCACTTACCACTGTATCACCGAGACAATTGGATGTGTGTTAACAAATATCAAGAAATAAGCCAGAATTGAAATTCCTGAGGAAAATGTTGGAAAATTTCGTGATGCTAAACAAGTGTTCATCCTTCTATTGATGAAACATACTATATAAAGATTTATGGGATAGAGGTGGGATTATATTCAATCCCTTAACAGCTTTATCAGATTATATTTTTAATAATTCACTTTACGTGATGCGTGTTTGGAAAACGTTGTGATATACGAGATGATTGAATATCATGCGTACAATAGACATGAAATATATACATGTAAGGTAGAAATAGATTACACTGAGTCCATGTCCTGTACAGTAGTAAGGTATAAATACCGCAGTAGGTATGCCAATTGAGTTTAGTAGCATCAGTATGCGACGACGTTTTCAAAAATAGTGGTTTCTATAGCTGACTTAAGTAGTTCTAGTCTTTGGTAGCCTGACTACTGAATTATTTTACCAAAACTTATCCCTTATTGATCTTTGTTTTCCTCCTTACTTCTTTTTACATTATTATTGTGTTTACAACTAAACGCTATATAGAAGTATCCCAACTTATATAATGGTGCTAATATTCCGGAATCACAGACGAATAAAAAGAAATAAAATTAATGTCTTCGCTTTCATAATAAATCGTGATGTAATTCCAACACAATAAACAACCGATTGCAATGAAGTAATTATTATTAGCGCCAAATCGATAGGTTGACTTACCCTCAGCTGTCAGTATTGGCCTCGAACATGATTTAATGTCTTATTTTAAAAGAAAAGTCATAACAACTTATCTTTAAATATTACTGCCACACATCGAGACTTATTGAACACAGGAATATACGACCTTCAAGTAACGACTTATGTATGTGGCGCTATTAGTCAAGGCCATAAATTACATCTAGTGTTTCCAATACTCTAAATATTTTAGTCACAAGTCATTATAAATCAACCATAACTCCACAATGAGAGCTTGATGCTAGCAAACAGCTATGAGTTTACGGCACTTACCATTGAAATTAGCTTATCTGCTTGAATACAGTAGTTAATTTGCTGAGTATTCTCTTACAAGATGACCACTTCCGAACACCATAATGTAATGTTTGTATGCAATGTCGATTCATTCATACATAACCCCGTACTTGTTATGAATTCTCAATACAATAGGTTTAGTTGTGTTCGCCGTTCTCTGTCTGAATTAAATTGGTTTATTCTAAGAATCCTTAGTTCATATACCAATTTGATTACATCTAACTATCATGCATAGGCAAAACCCTTTTTTCTGCGATGCAAGTTTATACCTAGTGGAGTTTTATGCCTACGTTTGGTCATAACAAAAACCTTAAAGCTCTGACGCGAAATTTTCTAAGAGAAAAGTGTTCCTTTTTCCTTTTTTTATTCATCTGTCCTTATTGCACTTTTAGAATCATAAGTTGTTTTGAGTACTCTTTGTAAACGCGTTTCCAGTTGCTGGAGCATGCAGTGTGATGGCTACAACAAAAAGTAGGTCAGAATATGAACTGATTTGGCTCTACTGCTTAAAATAGGTAAAACAACTCAAAGTCACTATGGATATGTGAACTATGTCGCTCCAAAATTGATTTATTTAAGTATAGTGCTGATGATGTCTCAATTTACCACAAAACCCTCTAATGGCAACGCGATGTCTTTAGAAGACATGTGCTTGTTGGATGATACAGTTTGTGTGATTTTCAACGTAGCTTAAAAATATAACAATATTCTAGTTGCAAAGTAATCTCTGTTTTGAACAATATGGTGCCTGTTGATACAGAAGTGAAGACTAAAACAAACCAAAATGCACAAAGCGAATCAGTCACAATTTGAGAAGTAATAATAGAAAAAAGCCACAAATGCCTGACCATTATCAGATTAGGACTTTGTTAAACTTACACCATGACTCAGCTTTCTGAGATACGTAGGCGCCTTGGGGTGACATGGTACTCTCACTAAGTGCACCAAAGCTCTCAGTTTGAAAGGTCAATAAGGCATGGAATCAATCCAAACCAATTGCAGACACGAATTCGGTAAACAACAAAGGCAGGAATTCAGACTTACGAGACACATGTAACATCCATTTTGAATGTTTTGTGTGTGAAAATCCCTCCACACAAACACTTGCAGTTTGTTCCTATTGATCCTTCTAGTTGTACATTTTGTTAGTGTTTTTGATTCGATATGAGATGCTAATATTTGTATTTTATTATAGTTCTCATTTTTCTTACGCCTTCACTAGTTTCCATGTTCCTTCCTGAACTTCATTTGTGTTGTTTTACTTGATACTTAGTCTTGGCGGCAGCCATATTGGTTTGTTCCTCATTTTGACTGCGTTGCTTGTATTGACTAGAATTGGGCATTTTAGATTGTGAATTGTGACACTTTTCCAGACATGGAAACACTGTGTTATGAAGCAAGTAAATATTACCTTTTGAACGAATCTGTGAGTGGTCTATCCAGACAGGATAAAAAAGCATTTATTTGTTGTGATTGGTAATTTTCTCACATCCCTTATCAACTTCCTTAATGATTGTGATTTAGATTTGATTAATTGAACAATTAGTGGTTGTAAATAAATAAAATATTTGTAAAATCCCAATGAGTAGAAAATTAGATTTTCTGACGTTTCGTGACTTAGTGTACGTCACTTCTTCAGAGAATAAATAACCAAATTAAAATTAATACAAGTTTAAATATTACAACGGAACGATAAGAATAATATTTGGTCAATCAAAAACAGGTCTGAAAAAGGTAATGTCATGTCATTTCTGTCGAGGTGATTCATAAGTGATATGTATGTAAATTTGTGTTTGTATGTGTGCATTGTTTAAGAATAAAAAATTGTGTGACCTTTATGGTGAGAAAGAATAGAGTTCAATTTGCAATATGGTAGTGTGAATTGTAAATACGATCAGACTGAATGGCTAGGATAGATAGTCCAAGTTGGATGTATGGTGAGGCCTTCCTTTCTATTGAGAGAAATAGGATTAAGCATTATATGAAACGCTTCAGCTACTCTCCTTTCTTTGTAGTTGGAAAAGCCTTTTTGCAATACTTTGATGTTTTTAAAATCAATTTGGTGGTTGTTGAAAATGACATGAACTGCTATTGCCGATTTAATTTGAAGTTGGTTCAATTCTACAGGATTGTTAGGAGGTTTCTTTCTGTACCTAATATGTTCTTTGGCTCTAGTCAAGATTTCGCGGGATGACTCTCCAAGATAGAAGGCATAACAAACGATACAACCTAATTTGTAGACGCAGTTCTGTATGGACATGAACGGGTTTTTTTCTTTTAGGCGAACTAAAGCATTTCGTAGTGTATTCGTTGTTTTGTAGTATACTTTAATTCTGTGATGTTTCAAGATTCTTTGGAGTCCTTCTTTTGTGCCATGACGGTATGGTAGAACTGTAGTACCAATCCATAGCATTTCATTCGGATCATTATTATAACGTACTAAACTGTCTTGTTTTAATATACTGCTAATAATCTTCATAGGAAAATTATTAAATTGTAAGATTCTAATTACATTCTTTTGTTCTGTTTGTTTGTCTTCCTTTAATGTAAAGATCTTGTTAGCTCTTCTAAAAAGATTTAATGCTAGCGAGATCTTAGCATTAAAAGGATGTGCTGAATGGATGTCAATATAACGATTTGAGTGCGTCGGTTTTCGGTAAATGGATAGGTCCAGAATTCTATTTTGATTTTTTTTACTAAGCAATCCAGGAATGGTAACTCACCACGTTCATTTTCATTTTCATTCGTGAATTTGATGTGCGAAGAAAGTGTATTTATTCGTTTTGAAAAGATCTTAGATGAGTCTTTTTTAGAACAACAAATGTATCGTCTACATAACCAAGCCAAATTCATGGTATAATGTTGTGGGCTAAGTGGTCATATTTGTCTAGGTAACAATGTACGTTTGAATATATGATGAATTTCAGAACCGTCATTTTATACAATCACTTTGTTTTGACTTCAACCAAGCAAAGGCGTCTATCTAACCCACCTAGACAGCTATCCTTCAGTTCAAACCTCAGTTTGGATCTTACTGCACATACCCCACAAAATCGACATCTTGGTTGTGTCGACAGATAAGGATTTGACAAAATAATGTCACAAGATGACCGAAAATATACGAAATATCCGGTCGATAAGTTTCCACTAGAAATCAGGGTTTCTGTCAGTATCCATAAGCAATCTAAAGTTGACATTTCGCATAGGAAACGTTTTCTAGTAGCACTTGACGCCCTTACAACAGAGAGTGGCCTATATTTATTATGCGACCTTCACCGCTATTTTTAGGAATTTTCATGGCTAGACAGAAGTTTTAGACATCATCTGACAAGATGATGACCATGTCTAACCGGACCGACGTGTTGTGTTGCAAGTTATCTATGACAAGCTATTCACCAAATGTTGATTACTACTTCTTTTATAGCAACGCGGAATGATAAATCTGTGTCGCTCTGTGGTTGAGGTATCTATAGCACTTGAATTCCGTAATTCACTTTAGGTTTCGTATTACCGTTGTGTGGCGCAATCTTTCTGTAATCAGCAGTATCTCTGGTGCATTACATCTTAGAATCTAGTTACTCGTGCATCAAGTTGCTACATAATGCAATTTTGGAGCATATCCTGCAGATAAAAGAAGAACTCGGTCGTAGTCATTTTATTTTAGTCATACTTCTTCATATATCTCCAAACAATGGAACTGTGAAGTTAATGCGTCAGCCTTGAAGATTTTAATATCAATCGGTTTACTACCTGGACACTATGGGTTCTTAAGGTATGCCAAGAGATTTGTAGCTTTGTATTGTTTATTAGTGCTTTCAGTAGAAAGATAGATGATTGTGACTATCTCAAAAGGAAGATAGCAAGTTATCTACCATGAATGACCTGCAAAACAGTTAACTGTCCAGTGTTTTAAATAAGACAGGACTATCCAGAATAGAAAGTTCATCATCAAGGCTACGAGTTTGAATAAATAGTCTACCTACTTCTACCACATAAGTAATTTTAGAGGTTTTTCGTTTGTTTCAACACACCACTTGTGTCTTTCAACTGCATGAGTTATCCTGGCACGTATATAAAAAGTTCATTACGTATCGCACAATAACCTGTAAAAACATACAATCGAGAATATTTCGGTGACTGACATTATAAAGGTAAAATAATGAATGTTAATCTGATGTTGATGCTCAGACTGCTACATCTCAACTGTCGATCAATAGTCGGAAGGGTGGCCTATCTTCGATTCCTACTAAATCTGAATATGCATCTTAATCGTGGTGTAATCACAATTCAAGATCTCTGGTTGAATCATTTACACAACAATTGTTTAGTATCACTACACTGTTTCAATATAAATCGTCAAGACTATTCAATTAGAGACAGCGTGGCATGGATTGAGCAAAAAATGTGAACTGGTATAGGTCTTAGTTTTGCATTATTAGACTGCTTTATCTATTGACCGACCGTTCAAAAAACTTAAACAAGCACTATTATAATTATGTTACTAAAATCTACGTGACTCCAGACTGCCAAATGTCTGCACCGTCTGTTGCCGTTAAGGAATTCACTCAAATTTGTTATCAGTACCGTGAATCGTTCACTCCCAATTATATATTGCGATTTTTATTCATAACATTGTAGCTCTCTTTCATAACTAACTCTCCAAAATATAGACGAGCTTCGAGATTACGGTACTATCCCTGATAATAATTAAACACCTCGAAACGTCGCCGATATGTAACAACCACTTGAAAGCATAGCCATCCGAGAGTAGGGTAAGGTCACGGGACACTTGTACAACTACTCCACACAGAAAATTGTGTATGTTTCCGTTTTGTTTCAATTTTCGAGTCCAAAAAAT